TACGTACGCTAGAGCGACATCCGCCACCAACTCAGAGAACACGGAGGGTATGTTTCACAAAAATGGTATTAGTCTTTGTAGCTTTTGACTTGATATATAGATAGTTAATAAGTGTTTTATTTATATGAGTGATTGCAGTATCATTTCAATGATTTCAACAAAGTTGAATAAAGTGCAGTGTAGACAAAGTCGAAAAATCAGGAACGGAGCACTATTGTGACGTAACACGACGTAGGAGGTTGATAATGAAGTCGAATGGGGTTTTGTGTTTATGGGGTTCATTCAATATTGCGCTAGAAGTACCGGTATGTCGGAATTTCAGTTTACTTTGCGAAATAGCTTCATAAAATCCCTCGAAATTTGCCCAATTTTAATCGATTTTTTCATGCAATCATGTGTCGTTCCCATAAAACTTTGAATATTGTATGTATCGATTATATAACCAAAAAATTTTAGCGAGTGGTTCCGAACTTCCCACAAGAAGTATATCATTGATAAATCACTGCTAAAGTTTAAATTGCTTTCGTAGTGACAGGAAAAATTCTCATCCAGATATCGATTCAGGTTTATATTAGAATTCACCAGAGTTCGTGGAACCCCCAGTTCACCCAGTCATACACGTCATCATACAGCTTTGATAATCGCCAAACGACTCGTTAGTGTGTTTAAACTTAACAAGATATGACTTAGTCGATATAATCCTACGATAATACCGCCTAATCCAAACTTGCTTAAGCTGTGAACAAAAGATGCCAGTGAAAATCCCTCTTTTCGTAAACACTGTGCAAGAAGGAGCAATAGCTGTCGAAGATTCGCCCAGTTTCGCTTTGACCTAACACTCAACTTGGGGTTTGATAGTAAAAAACAGTTCTCGTGTTGCATTCAGAGCTATTTTGCTCACATGGTGAGGCATTTGTCGTATAAGGATTGTTATATAAAGCTTCTTTGCAATGGCATTGAAATGATATGGGTGAGCTTTAATGCATTCATAGTCTGTTCAGTAAAAACCAGTGCTGGTTTAGGTATACGTAATAAAAGATATAAGCGAAAATATCGAAGAAAATCGTGTGATGTTTGTTCTTGCTTTGGGATCTATCTGAATTTTTGCATTGATTGTATTAGGTAGGTAATACGTAATACGCCTCCCATAACAATATATTTTTGAAATAAAAAAATATTATTCTTGTCTTAATCAGTCGCATTCATCGCGAGACTTGCAAAATGAAAGTACTTTTTGAATATTTCTAACAGTGTTTTTCATTGGCTGGGGCAAAAACATTATAAATGTCAAAGAATTTGTTTCTTAAACAAAAGCATGTTAGACAGGCCTAACTTTGTTGTGTTTCGATCGGTTTTAGAGGTCGTAGACGGATTAAAAGACTGGCGGCCGCTTGGGACCCCAATTTCTGAATTTTTGGCTCTCTATGAATAAATACATCAAAAATATTTTAACGGAAGGACAGGTTGACATAGTTTTTGGCGCAAGTGAATGTATATGTATATATTTTCAACGTGTATCCATAATATTTAAAATGCAAAAGAGTAATTACCTAACATGTTATCTATAGTCTATACGGCCTTGATAAGGTTGTAGTTGATTTTTGAGTAATTAAGAGATTTTTTAGATTTCGTGCTTTGTTGCAGTCTTGCAGGTAGACTTTGTTCAAGTTTGTCGTTTTCGCGATCAGATTAGAGTGTTTTGAGTACTTGTTTGTTTGAGATTATCACGTTATTTTGCCAATAAATCGTATTTACGGTTTACATGCTGCTTTGTTGTAGGACGAAACATAGCATCGTTCGTACGTTCAGTCCAAATGATAAAAGTTTTTTTTGTGTGTTAGTTTTATTATTATGCTAGAATTGAGTATTCGGCATCGGCATTGACTTCATAAACTCAGTAGGCAGTAAGGTTGCAAGCATGCACGAACCCGAACAAACTTCATATATTTGACGACCGTAATCATGTTTAAAAGTCGAAATGCCCAATCGGTTTTACCTTAATCATCCTTCGTTACGGACCCACAGGCGAGAACCTGCTCTAAAAAATCGTAACATAACACAAATCAGATTCAAATAGCTATTCCCGACTAGACCATCAGTGTGCATGGTGGGGTATTTCAATTCAATTATAAAAACTAGCGATATATATATATATATATATATATATATCGCTGATATAATCGGTATGTTAAGTTTCGTTTAGTTAAGAAGATCAAGTTGAAATTGTGGAGGAGTTTCGTCAGATGTGACGCATATATGTATAATTTGTATCTTTGTCAATTTAATTGAATGTTTCGTCGAAGTTAAGTGTAGGTTTCCGATGTCTATGATCATGAAAAGCATTGGTATAAATCCCTTTAAACTTAAAACCATTGCTAAATCAGTCATTTTCAGCCGATCTGTAGCCATGTAAGCATTTAAGTTTATGCCACAAGAAATGAAAATGTACCTCCCATATAGGCCACGATTGACCACAGCGATAATATCGAACAACACTAACCGATTTTTGACATAATTCAAGTTCTTCGTGACATTGCTCACTTTGTTGGAAGAGCAAATTGGCTAAAATTTGTCAAATCACTGCATATTTAGGTTTTGCCTCTCCACCACAGGACTACTAGATAAATATTTGCCAATTACCAGACCGGGTTGCACATAAAATGGTCACTTTTTGGATCAAATAGTAGTATCGGTTTGATAAATGAGAAGATGAATGACCTTTGGATTCATCGATCGGTCTCAATTTCAATATTAGTCTCCTTCGTGGGTGACCATTATCATATTTGGTTGCCCAGAAAAAAATATAAATTGCTATTCCTTGGAATCAATGTATTCGCAATCGAATTGTGCCTATTCAATCACCATAAATTATTATAGTCAGCGATTTGATGAGAAAAAAACAGTGTCTAAGAATAGGATTCGAGTTATGTTTCTTCGCTGGTATTTATTATAAGAAATAAGAATACATTAACCAATATGGGTTTCTACGCGCTTTTTTAGTCATTACGTTCATCATTTAATTTTTGTGATGAACATCTTTTGTCCAGTTCACGAAGAGAGTCTATTATTAAGATGCAGATCGAGGAACATATGAATGAATATAGGATTTGATTAAGACTTGGGTTCAGGATTTTATAAGAACGACGTTTTTGCTCCCTTCTTCTTTAATCATGCGAGATACTTACCGGTACTATGCACTCATTATTTTACGCTGTAGTCAGTCTGATGTCATGTTGGGAACTTTTCGCATTTGTAAACGTATGTATTAGAGTTTTCATTCATACATTCAAGTCTTACCTGGAATGTATCTTACTTCCGGTAGAAGGTCGAGACATAATGTTATTCTCTTGTCATCATCGACCGGGCATTGATATTTCAGTTTGGCGCACGTAAAGTGACGTAACTTCATTCATACTTTAGTGGTTTCTTTTTGGTCGTGGTTACGCAAAGTCTTTCCACGTTTTCGCGCTTTTGACGTTTAGAAAATGAATGAAGCTTGTTTACCTAGTAAAGGCGAGGGAGTGCGTACGATTGCTGATTCACACCTGTACTGCCATAAGATTTTATGTTGATTTTAATCATGTTAAGGCTCTAATCGTCTGTATTGTTCGGCGGAAGTCGTCAGTCCAAGAGATAATACCAGTAGTTAATTGGCGTTCTTGATAGTTCGTAGATTGAGTAATTCCGATTCATGTTGTATTAGAAAATTGTTGGAATTATTAGAATTGATAGTTTCTTTACTTGGACTAAAAAAAAGTCGGCGACGGTAAATCTGAACTAGTGTGGTAAATATGATCATGTTTCATTGAGCTTATGTGTTTAATCAAGGTTAGCTTACAAATTTTTTTTTGTGTTAGGATCATACTGAGTGCCTATAACAGAACGTCATTTAGTTGAATCCACGAAAGGTACACTTTAGAAACTCTAATTGCAATATACCAAAGTTCTATTGTCCTACAGTAGCATCGCAGTAATTCTTTTGCTTATTATTTTTACAAATTTAATCATTTCCACTTTGGGCTAGTTTTTTTTTTATATTGAATTACAAGAATAAGTTTATCGCAGCGTAGTTATATTTTTTTTCTTCTTTTGATTGTTTATTAGTCGTCAGTCTCTGAACAATTTACTTGAAGTTGCGACAAACGTCTATGCGCACAACCCACTAAAACATTTGCATTTCATGGCAAATATTTCGATGCACGATGGATGATCAGATACAGTTGCATAAATCACATCGCGCGGTTGATTAATGACATTCAGCGCTCCGATTACTTCTCATACTACTTAACCGATCAATGAATCCTTAGATCTTAATTCCAAGATTCCAGAGATTATAGGATTAAGTTAACACGTGTGTATTACGAAGCAAGTTCTCTACTCAACACGTAAACAGCCGTGAAATGCGTCAGAAGAGAGAGGCTTCACTTGTACCCAGTTCAGATGTTATTTAACATTTTTCAAGAGGTTTTTGTAATCGGAGATCTAACTTTATTGCAATTAGGAAATTGCAGAACATCGCTTAATGAGATGCATTGCTTCAGTTGTCACATGCTTTGTTAAATAATTAGGATTCCGATATTGTCTATGCATGACTTTGGGTGTCTTATTTTAGTTGTGTAAGTCAAACTGAGTTTTTGTTCGGTGTTTAGCACATTGCAGCACACGATCCACAAAAGTCTTGTTTACTCCGTGGTCGTTTTTTTATAAATTCAAGAGATAACCACATGATATTGCGACATTGATATCAAAACAAAGAAATTGAATAATTTTTTGCCTAGGGGTATGATAGGAATTGAACTCGACAGATTTAGTTGCCCTATATGAGACCTCGGACGACCTTCTTTGTAAAAAAAAATATGTTCAAATTACCAGAAATTCAGGGCGATACTGGGGTAGGGAAAGTTGATTCGCGTACTACTCGCTCTTTGGATTCTTTTCTCTTGGAAGGAAGTAAAATACAGTTGACGAATAAATGGTACAATGAGTTGTTTTGGAGATACATGATGAAATCGTCAATTTAGTTGCGGTGAGCCATAAACTGCGGCTTATAGCTTGGATATGAGAAATGAAACTCGAAACTGTTAATATAAGCTTGGTAAATGCCACAAAGTCTGTTTGTTGACACGTAAATAATGTTTTATGAAGGGAACACTAAATTAAATCGCGTGATTGTTTTACGAGTTTCGTTTACAAAAATCACGGCTACGTTGATAAATATTATTAGCTGGGTCTTCATACAATTCTTGAATCTTGAATTCTTTGTTACCGTGGTTTTCACATGTTTTATTTGTTTTTGTTACTTGGGCAAAATAGTGTATCTAGTATCTTATAGAAGTTTTAAAAAAATTACTTATATGGAATGTGGATTTATTATTGAAAATTGTCACAATTGCCGTGCGTACATCACCGGAACAAATATTTTCGAAGTGAGAACAATACGTCTACTGTGATGTCTACCACAGCCGTTGAACACAAAAAGCCATCCAGGCGAGTATCGATATCGGGATTTTTTAACAGAAAAGCTGAACGCAAGGTGTCAGTAGTGACCCGACAACATGTCGATCCTGTGGACGTTATTATCGAAGAGGCTGGTGTGTTTTCATGCGATGTGCAAACTGCTAAGCCTAAAGTGGATCGCACTCATATCGTGAGGGATAAAAAAGTGGAAGCGATTAACAAGGTAACAATACCAAAAGAGGATATTGCTCGCAACGCCTTGAACAGAGAAATAAGATCGAAACAAAGCAGTAAACCAGCGCGAAGAAAAGGTACCACAGATGCACCACATCGCGTTGGCCTTTTCGATAGCTTTCGAAGCAACCGTAAACCAGCGAAATATTCGCTAAAAGAGAGAGAGCCAGCAAAAAACACATCTAAAACGAATAAGCAGAAACATTCCCCTGTAGGGGTAATCGGTTATCCGGACGGATCACCTGTGTCGCCTTTGTACGAGTATGCCAGAGCAAGAAATTTACAACTCTTCGATGACGATTCTCCAACGCGAGATAGACGTTCCAACAAATCGCTCTCCCCTGAGCAATCTCCTCGTTCTGGAAAATTCCGACAGTTTTCGAATAACAGTCTACCCAACACCGATGACGAGTCCGATTGCGTTCCAACCAGAAAAGTCCAGGATCTATCAACAATAAAAGTTGTCAACGATGGTCGAATAATGAAAAACGGCATTCTGAAACACGATAGATCTCCCGTTTCAGACGACGACGGTATAAGCTCGGGCTCTAATACCCCAGTTCCCGTCTTAGTTACCCCATGTTCCAATTCATCTGATAGCGATTCCTATCTAAGAAATGGTCGCACAACGAGTGAATCGACGGTGCCAACGAGTCCGGATGATGAAACGGATTCTATGGATATCTCAACCTTCCCTCGATCACCTAGAAGGAATCAAAAATCCGCCGAAATTGATAAAACCAAATCGAGGTCACAAGAAAGTTACTGACCACTATTGTAAATGCTTTTACCGGTCGCACCAGTAAAGAAGGCGAAACAGACAATGACTTGGAGGAGGCGTTATTTTCGACTGCACATGTCAGAAGCACCCCCATTTTCAAAATCGGTTCCATTTCTTCCATAAACAATGATGCTGGTATCACAATCATAGGAGAAGGCACGGGCACAGATAAGTCAGATGACGAAGTATTTAATACTGAATTCACAACGTGGGAAGGAAGAGGCGTGCTGACCTTGCCAAGACCAAAGCACAGAAAAATTGGGAAAATTGGTATGTTTCAGTTATTACTGATTTATGAAATTGTAGTATCAACTACTTCGTCGAATTCATTTTATTGTGGCTGCGTCCACTAGATGGCGATACAGTTGCATGATTTTTGCGAGTTTTGAAAAAAGAAATTCGTATATTTTTGAAAGCTACACATCCAGTACGGTACAATGTGCACAAAAGTTCATGTCCTTATGCACTTGCTGATACATCTTCAGGCCATTGGATTTTAGGTTCGGAATAATATATCCGGCACATTCCAAATTAGCCGTGTGGACAAGTAATGGTTTTATAAAATTTGGGATTTATAAAGATCTCTAAATTCTTCCTGGTAAGAGTGTTTACACCAAATTACGGAAGAAAAATGTTTTGCAAATACTTAAGATTACAATATATTATGTTGTCGCTATGCCAGTAATAATGAAAAATCTGCATCGAGACTATTTTTATTCATTTGTATGTTGATAAAGATTAAACAGAAAAATATGTGTACCTATTTACTCGTTATTATAAGCCATGTTCTTCTGTACTAAGCACAATGCTGATTCGCGACCACTACACAACTCCATATTTGGATTTCTTTGACGCTACCACTCCCTTATTTAGCCCTTTGTGCGCATCGTAATATTTGTTAGAGATGCTGTCATTGTTTGCGAGTATTTGAAGCATTTTCAAATGACAATATTTGCAGTTTCATTGGTTACGTCGTCGTTATCCTTAGTTCTCGGGATGACTTAATAATTAGCGAAGCACATACGTCATAGAAATAAAAACTTCTTTTGTTGTGTAACATTACCTGTTTTTGAGGCAATGCGTGAAATCCACTTTATAATAACCGGTAAATTTTAGTTGAAATTCATTTGTTTTTATTTTGTTTGAACTATGAATTCGTCCTTATTAGTGCTAGTCACGATTTTGATTTGCCAATATTGCCATGTCATCGTTTGAAATCACATGACACGGGAATGGGTAACTCTTTTTATTACACGGTATTGAAAACCATAATGCTATGTTAAGCAATACTTTCTAGGCCTCAAAAGGGCCAAGGCCGAAGTATTTAACATCCTGTGGCGCTGTTTCAATAAATTTATAATAACTTACTCATCGTAATTTGAAAGAACATTTCTTCCAATGTATAATGAAACCATTACCGGAAGCTACTTCCAGGCATTTAATTTTTGATATCGCTCTCCATTGTTTTAGAAAACCACCAACGTATAATTGCGTGCGATGAGCCTCAAAAATTAGACGCTCTGTGAACCACAAACTCGCCATTAAGCCGAGATCGATATAAAATATTCGGCGATAACCGTAATTAAATCGATAATGTCTCGCCTGATAAGAGGACTAATTGATAGTTTTCCATTCCTTTGTCTAGTGGGCTAAGCACGCTTGCGGTAAATCTCAAGGTGGATAATTACTACACATTTCTTCTGACTTTTTTCATTGGTTGTCAAAGTTAGAATATACTTTATCTGATCATCTGTAACATATATCTATCTATTAATATACGTTTTTTTTTTTTCAAAATCATTCCACGTTGCCATTTTTGTAAAACCGGTAGCCTCATGTTGCAACAACTGCGTTGATTCTTATTCCGCTAAATTTAGCCTCTTTAAAAATTAGGCTTGCACGTAATTGACAAAAATCAATTCCGTAATTACGGCAAAATCAATTACGTAATGACCCCGTAATTGCGATATTTTTCCACGCATTTAAACCTATCATAACAACCAATTGAATCCACTTCTTTTCCGAATGGGACATTGAAGTTGGGTTTTCATATTCTTGGCAGTACTACACGCCGTCGACAGATGTTAAAGACAAATATCAAGGAGTGAATTCAAATAAATTTTATTCTGATTTTTATCTTTTGTGTTAGCTTTGGTTTTCCTTTATCACCTTCGCAAATTAACCGTCCCATTTTTATGCGATCAATTTTATTTTATCATTACCGACACTGGTATACGGATATTTATGGAAACGATAGTTTTTTAAAACCACCTTAACACTGAATTAAAATTACGGGTTCCTAATTTATTAACCAACGACGAGCGTATTCACTCGTTTGATTATACTTGCGATTTCCTCGCGACGAAGACTTGTTTTTGCAGCGTCTTCTGCATTATCCGACATTACTGCCTTGTTAAGCATTTTATAATAATAATTATTGATGTCGACTTATTGACGATATTCCGATTACCATGCTTCATTTTACATTTAATCATCTCGCGGACTGAATGTTTATAACATTATTTGCGATAAATTTAGATCAAATATTATTTATTTGAGTATAATTTAAATATTGAACTTATATGATATGCCTTCTCCGAAAATACAAAAGTTATATCGCAAAACAATGCATTTCGTGACATTTATTTTACACTCACGACATTTATTTGCTAACTCAAGTCGGCGATCCTATCGGCCAAGATTGACACAAGTTTGGTCGAGTGCCGGTGGTATTCAAGTCGACGATAAATCAAAATAAGTTGGCGCATTTGGTAAGACAGTTAATCATATATGGCCGAAATATTGAGAGGAATTGTGAAAAACATCATGCGGACTGATATATAACATCATCCGGACTGATATATAACGATAAAACCGTTAACAGAACATCAAGATTTTGTAATAGAAAATGGATCTCGCACAGAATAAACACACTGGCTCATATTTGATTCTATATGATAGCAGTTAAATTTTTTGCGGTCCGCGAGGAATCCGTCGTTTTGCTGTTTCTCTGCCGTCTCAATCGCTTTACCGATGCCGAGAAGACGAAGTTGCGTTGGTTCATTACGCAATCTCTCTTTTGTCGTCATATTGCTATTTGATAAGCGCGACATTAATTATCACGGCGAGGTATTGGCGCGAGTGATCAATCGCTCTTTTCGCTTATTTGGTTCCAATTCGTCGCGAAAGCTCTTCGTTAAATTTCACAAGATCGTCGTGTTGAAAGGTTATGGATATTTTCCTGTTTATACCCCAAGTCTGAAATAAAACAGCCCAAAACAGTATGATATTCCATGTTCATATATCAAGTGTTGATATTAACAATAAAGAATGGTTAAGCATTGCTAATCCACACTTGGTGGGGAATTCCCACTATTTAAACGCGTGACTATAAAATAGAATAAAATAGAAACGGAACATATATACCATAAGTAACGGAAAACTGGAACAAGTAAATAATAAATAAAAGTAAAATGGATACAAATGTTTGATAGACCATATTTGAAAGATTGATCTCCTGCGTTCATTAGTCATTTCACCCGAAGAAGTTGAAACCGGGCGTGTTAGCGTCCATCGGTCTTAACACAATTCTTCCCCCTATCTACGGTTATTATGTACATTGGCCATGGCCAAGCTAGATAAGATGCGAGAGAAGTTGAAACCAGGTGTGTTGGCGTCAATCGGTCTCAACGCAATTCTATCCCTTATCTACGGTTAAGTTACGGGAGAAGTTAAAACCAGGTGTGTTGGCGTCAAACGGCCCTACTCAGTTCTTCCCCCTTAACTACGTTAATAATTTACATTGGCCATGCCAGAGAAGTTGATAATAGGTTAGTGAATGGCAACGCGTCATGCCCTCCTTCACCTACGTAGCAAGAAAGGTAAAAGAGAGTAAAACGGCTGTGAATACCGGAACTCTAACTTCTACTTGTTGAGCTTTCATTTTTCGCAATCGACGAAATTGACTGCTTTGAAGAAAGCTCGTTTCAATGCAATAATTACGACTTTACGTAATTCGTAACTTCCCTTCCGTAACTCAAAATAATTACGTAATTACGTAAATCCGTAAATTACGTGCAAGCCTATTAAAAATAGAGTTTGAGACAGAATTTAGATTGTTGTTTTGAGTATGCTTCCATAAAGAGCAATAATATTTGTGGTGCGGACCATACCATATCATCAACTTTATTATATATATATATAGTGCGTGTTCATACGATTTTTACAGCTAATTTAAATTTTACGAGCGACCAGGCAAGCTTTTTTCCCCATATACTGCTTAACACACTTATTTCAGTGATTATATTTTTTTACAAATATTACCTAATAATGACGAATTTATCAAGTCTTTATCAATTTTAACTGTTGTATTCTTCATTTCGAACATTCTGTATATATATCTTATGGTATTCTATCTAAAACAAATTTTGGACATCCTTAGTAGCATCGTGTCATAAAACGGTCGTAAGCATTTTCTCATTATTCATGTTGTTATTTTAATATCCCTTAACATATTAATCCCCACTTGAAATTTTATTTGTGAGTTTTGCTAAATCCGGGCCATTGCGAGGAATAATGTTTTTTCTTTCGATAAGAAATCCTTTGATTCACGTACAAACAAAACCAGTGCCGAAATATTTTTTTTATTCGTGAGTTTAGGATGATCCCAGAATGTGTTTTTCCAAAGAACACAAACATAATTCACTGGAAATTGCACTAATTTTACATTCTTTTTATAATCATTTTGTTTTGGTTCCTCGTACTTCAAATTGGTCTGCTGTGCGTCACAAAAGCCCCACTTGGTGGAAGCAACTTATGTAAGGTCGATTAAGCCGGACATTTGTTGACCAGGCTTTTGTTATATTGTACTTATATTTATATTATTAGAAATTAACAATAAAAAGGCCCACCCTGAGATTTTATTCGTGATTCTGGCTGATCTTTATAACAAAACAATTTTCTCAAAATATCTCGACAAATATTGAAAGATGTTATCGCAAAATAATTTGGATTATAATAATATCGCTCCGCTTTCTTTGAAACTTGCAAAAATTCCAAACGCTTTTATATTCGATGTTACGATACCAATGTTTTGCGATCTGTGGAAAAAATTTTCGAATACCATCCAGACTTCAAATAGGGAATACTTCCTGGCAGCAAACATACAAATGCGGTCTGTTATTTTTACACAATGCATCATGTCAGTTTCATACATCTTCCCTAATCACTTGTCTTTGAGTGCATGATAACATCTACTATAAAAACCACTA